TACATGATTTCAAATTTGGAACCAGATGGGAAATGAGGCCAATTAATCAAAATATCCTAAGTAATATTTTAGAAGGGCTTTTAGATGGATTAGCATATTGCGAAGAAGTTAATTTTCAATACTTAATAAAATAATTTCTTTGATATTCAATGTTTCTATAAATTCTGGAAATTATACGTTCAGCCAATTACAAACTTCTCGTTTTGTCTCCATCTCCAATAATTTTATTTCAGTTTTATTTAGATGTGCCGTATTCTATTTCTTCACTGACAGAAATGCAATTGCGACAACTAAAGAACTTTATTGATACTCGCTATGTACATGTTCATTTCATAATTAAATTTCTGTTTTTTATTCTTTTCATAAAAAGTGAGAGATAGGTATGGGCTATGGACTACACGAAATATGCGTATAATTTGCCGCAGAATTCGAAAATATATTTAAAAAATGGTGTTTGATTTAAAAACAAGCCCTGCACTGTAAAATTTCTATGTTATGGAAAAAATGCGCGAGAAATAATTATGATGAACGTGAGCGAGAATTTTTCTTAAAATCCAAGATTATATATATACAGTGTGTCCAAGATAAGGATGCACAGCATGGGGATCTCGGAAACTATAAGAGATACAGTGTCGGTTAAATTAGACAAAAGTTGCGCATTTTGATACCGAACAAGATCCCGTTTTACAAATTTGAAAATTCCAAGCCGTTCCGGAAATATCCGAGAAAAACCGAAATATTGCGATTTCGTTTTTATTATTTTTTAAAGCTATTTGAAAAGATATGAAAAAACGGAAAACACTTTTCCATTGGCACTTTTTAATCTCTCCAAATTGACGTTAACAAATTTTCATTACAGCGTTTCGATTCCATGGAACCACCATCAATTTTGATTTTTCTTATGGGACGGAAAAAAAGTACACACAGTATTAGGTTGTGCTTTTCATTGCGAATTCAACGATGTACGATACAATACGGTTACTTATGTTTTTATCCAGAAAAATGGCTTTTTAATACATTTCTAGTATTTTATTGTAGTAGGCCATGAGATCCGAACGATGAAAGGCAAAAGAAAATGGTTGACAAGTTCGAGTTAATGTGTTTATTTATTTACTAACTCTAACTGTTCATTTAACATAACAACTAAATCCAACAAGTTAATGAAAAACAAATTCTATAACAAATGTTCGAATAAATGACCTCCATTTTCTAGGCATAAGTACGCCCGTCTCACGGTATACTCCAAAACACGACTTAACATTTCAGGAGTAATTTTATTAAACGCTGCTCGTACTGATTGACGTAATTGTTCCTCGTTGTCAAAACATTCTTTGAATACCTCATTTTTTATGTAGCCCCATAAGAAAAAGTCCAAGGGAGTTAAGTCCGGGGACCTTGGAGGCCAAGGTGTTTCACTGTAAGTCCCAATGTATTTTCCATCAAACCGTTCAGTTAAATATTGGCGAACTTCTCTGGAGTTATGGGCTGGGGCACCATCTTGTTGGAACCAGCAGTCTTGCACAGCGCCTAGCGGTAAATCATCTAAGGCATCTTCTAAATCGTGCCTCAAGATGTCAAGGTACCGCTCGGAAGTTAAGGAATTATTATAGAAAATAGGGCCTATAATCTTGCTACCAAAAATCCCACACCAAATATTAAACCCAAAGCGAACTTGATGTCTGGATAGTCTATTAACACGTGGATTTTGTTGCGACCAATAGTGTGTATTGCGCCTGTTATAAATACCGTTATTGGTCACCATACTTTCATCAGACCAAATCACTTTATATGGAAAATTAAAACTCTCATCACACATCCTGGTATACCACTCACAAAAATGTCTACGTCGTTCGTCGTCACCCGGTTTTAATCCTTGACATATTCCGAATTTGTAAGGCTTAAATTCATTTTTCCTTAAAATAAACTGAGCTGTAGATTTAGCTACCCCATTCTGGTCTTCAATTTCTCTGGTAGAAGTTTGTGGATTTTCGATAACAGATTGTAGAACAATGTATTGGTTTTCTTCATTGGAAGGTTTTTGTCGGGATAATGCAGGCTTCTTAAATGATCCATATTCTTTCAGATTAAATAACAAACGCCGAAAAATACTCTTGTCAGGTTGTCTCCGCTCTGGGTATTTGTTAGAATACATACGCTCGGCTTCCACACAATTTCTTTGGCATCAGATGTAGCAAGACAGCATATCACATTTTTCTTCGTTTGTAAAATTACCTCCCTCCATTGTAGAACAAAATAAATTAGAAAAAGACAACAACAATAAAAATACAAAAACAATAACTAAAGGAATAAACTTATGATCGACTGATAACAAAGACAAATAACATTAATGTGTCATTGAAATTGACTGGATGTCATTTTGTCATGGCCTACTTCATTTAAATGCTGAAATGTATTAAAAATCCATTTTTCTGGATAAAAACATAAGTAACCATATTGTATCGTACATCGTTGAATTCGCAATGAAAAGCACAACCTAATACTGTGTGTACTTTTTTTCCGTCCCATAAGAAAAATCAAAGTTGATGGTAGTTCCATGGAATCCAAACGCTGTAATGAAAATTTGTTAACGTCAATTTGGAGAGATTAAAAAGTGCCAATGGAAAAGTGTTTTCCGTTTTTTCATATCTTTTCAAATAGCTTTAAAAAATAATAAAAACGAAATCGCAATATTTCGGTTTTTCTCGGATATTTCCGGAACGGCTTGGAATTTTCAAATTTGTAAAACGGGATCTTGTTCGGTATCAAAATGCGCAACTTTTGTCTAATTTAACCGACACTGTATCTCTTATAGTTTCCGAGATCCCCATGCTGTGCATCCTTATCTTGGACACACTGTATATATATATATATATATATATATATATATATATATATATATATATATATATATATATATATATATATATATATTGTTTATATTTTGTTTTTTCTTAGACCTTCTCTATATTTATGTTTAGCTTTTGGTTCTTGGGTTATAGGTCTTTGTATTAAAAGCGATTAAATTTTTTTTTGTCCATATATTGACGTTTCGGTCTTCTATGACCTTCTTCAGAAAGGGGTACAGTCTAAAATTATGTTATAGTACAGTTCTTTTTTTTTTACATATACACAACGGAATTAAAAAGAACCTTACCAAAAAGAGACAAACACAAATCTTAAAATAACATTATATATATATATATATATATATATATATATATATATATATATATATATATATATATATATATATATATATATATATATATATATATATATAATGTTATTTTTTATAAAATATTTATTTAAATTATTTTTTCCTTTAATTCTTCTCTACGCAAAACTATTCATCACATAGCTTCTTTTAAAAATTATAGTATTTTTTTTACATTCCACTTTTTTTTGTAAAGAATGTTGTCTCTCTCCGTATACATTTCATAAAAGAAAAGGCATTTATCCCTCGATAAAATTATAGAAATAAAAGGTTTACAAAAAGTTCTATTTTTGGGATTTTACTACCAAAACAAGTGTAAGTTTCAAATGCAAAAGTAGTATTTATGGAATATAAGAAAAATTTGTATTTTATAGAGGGTGATCAAGACTTGGTCTCATCTAATAACAAATTAAAGTGGCTATAACTTCATTAGTTTAAATGGATACCAAAGTTTTTTACCTAAAAGGGATAAATAAATGTTTTATTGCATCTAGTTGCCTATGGTATTTAGAAATGACACAATTTATTGAGGTAGTCATTTTGGTCTGGTGTTGCTATAAAGCCGGTTCATTGGCTGACCTGTGAATTCATATATTTTTTGATATTGGTGCAAATTCCATTATTAAAAGTTACAACTGTGGCATGTTTTAAAACCAACGGGTGCAACAATTAGATAGGTACTCTAAACAATAACAATTATAATATATAAGATTTGCAATTGCCCTATTTAAACTAATCAAAACTAACTACACATAATGAAATGTAACTGAATGAAAAAATAAATGGAGAAAACTTGTATTTTCAAAAAAATTTCTAAATATCACTGTCCGTTTCTTTTCCTCAAACTATTGCTAGTTCTGAACAAAATTTGCGGGGATATAGTGTTAAAAGCATCTCTAATACGCATTTTTATATCTGCTGCGATGGAAAGCGAGTTATAAACAATCCCTATTATATGTATAAAAAGCAGTCTAATGGCATTTGACATTTCCAAATGCCAAAGGTAACGAGATAAAATAAAACGTTTATTTAGAAAAAATCAAATGGCGCCAAAAACCGAAATAAATAATAACAAATAAAATAAGAAGAGTTAGCTCTAGTTAACTGGAATGATTCCCTGGTAGTTTAAAAAATATGATTTCCATTTAAATTTCTAAGTTATAGCATAAATTTATTATTAGGTTAGTTTAGGTTGGTTTCGACCACCCTGTATAAAATGGAAAGTATTTTGTAACTGGGACATAAAATAAGTCTATTGCTTTAGTTGCAAATAAATACTTTATTGAAACATACATTTATGTTGATCGCAGTATCCAAAAATATAATATATTTGCAAAAATTAAATTTTTATACTTTCACACGAAAATCTGTATATAGAAGTGCTTAACTTTTGGTTAATCTTGTGTTTTCAAAAATTATTTTGTTAAACTTTTTTTCCGCAGTCCGACCCCGCACAATATCTTTTGGCATTGCTCATTGCACAATGGGACAGAGACAGGTAGTTTTATTGCATTCTATAACTCGAAACTGTGCGAGCACTAGGTATACTACTTTTTTACGAGGGGACAGAATTGAGGTGAATACATTTTATGTAAATTCACAAAACTGCAACGCCAAGTTTAAATTTTCATGCATCCAATTTTTTTCTCTTTGGTGTGTATGTGACTGATTTTTTTTTCAATATATTGACATAATGATTAAAAATATGCGTTTTTCGATAAATGTTTATCTGTAAAATTAAAAAAAGATAAAGTCCATCGCGAAATAACTGGTAGATGGTTCATACCTATAATTACGTTAATATCACATTTGAGCAGTAGCTTTATAACTTCCAATCCGATGCCTCTGGTACCTCCTGTTATGACCGCCACCTTTCCCGACCTCATTGGCAACACTGCAATCAAAAGTTTCTGATAAGAAAAGTGAAGGAATATCATGAATGAATCATAATTAATCAAGAGTTAATTTGTTGCATAACGAATTTTATTATAATTATTGTGTGCTCAAGTGTTTTTTATTGCCATGTTTGCAAATCTTTTTTGGTAATGGCGAATGTGGTTTTAGACCATTGAAGACCGGATCTTCATTTGTCGTGGAGCTTATCAATAGAATTGTAAAAGAAAAAATGATTTCCATAAAGAGAGGAATCATCACGCATATGGCGCTTTTCAACTTAATCTTGAAATAGAATGAAAGGGTAAATTATATTACACCACTTACAAAAATAATAAAATTCCGATATTTATTCATATTCAAAAAACTACAAGAACAAGTCGCGTGGGTCGTCATATGAGGAAATTCACTTCATTTTTAAATACACATTTTTAAAGCTTAAAGGTAATATTGCAATAATATCAATGTGTAGAAAAATGGAGCCCTTTCAAAATTATATTCATTGAGAATTTTTGACTAAGAAAACTCTTGTCCAACAACCTGTGCATGTAGCCACTAATATGTGAGACTTTCCTGTTGTCTTGAAACAGGTACGACAATGAAATGTAATATTAGCACTACCAACTATTATTCGTTGTCATTCTAAAAGGATAGTAGTTTAGAACCAACAATTTTTTTTTTTGGTAAGTTGACTAGCAAAATCAAAGAATTGGGATTTTATTGGTGGAACTGCTGTTGAGAAATTTGCAACGTATAATCCTCCCCCGTTTCATTAGGTTAACTAGTAGAATATCAGAAATCACCAGAGTTTCCATATAACATCAATGTAGGTCCCATATACTAAGTCGGCACTACAAAAATATTTTTCAATTAGTAGCTCTTCGAATATATTCGTATATTTGTATAATATACTAGAAAAGAATGTTTTTTTTTTTTTAAATATATGATACTTCGCAAAACATACACAAAAAGCTTATGCATAGTATATTCCACTTAGTAATACATTTGAAGTGTTTTCTAAATGTTCTACTGCGAATATTCTTTCGAATAGAATTGGCATACTGTCGAAGGAACTAGAAAAAACTCGAATTGAAGGGTGATAATGCTCAATATTATTATTACTTATTTTGAAGATAGATCTCAATATGTTAAAGTAAACAACATAAATAGTCTACTAAACTCCAATATATATTGTGTTCTACAGGGCTGGGTTCTGGGACCCCTGTTGTACTCTCTGTACGTATTTAAATTAAAGAAAATACTGAACTTAAAGCACCTTCGCACATACTGCTCTAGTATGTGTTGGAAATTGTCAAAATGATATGTGCAAAAGGATCAATGTTGATATGTTGATTGGCTATATTCAAAAAAATTAAAAATGAATATTAAAAAAACAAAATATATGGTTTTTCCGCCAAGAAATAAAAATATAAATGATATAAATATTCAAATGAACGATATACAACTGGAGAAAGTTACTAAATTTAAATATCGAGAATAGGCGATAAATTAAATTGGCTTAAACACAAAGAAACAATTACCAATAGAATTCTATCTATGTTCTCATTTTTGTTTAAGTGTAGAAAATATTTAATTAATAAAACAAAATAAATGAAACACTATTCTTTCTCTTTATCACAATTTAGATATTTAATGCCTATATGGGGAATGTACACCGAAACAAATTTCAATAAAATGCAATCCTATATTTATGATGGGCTAACCTTGCATGTGCATAAACTCAAAGAGATAATTCAAATTGAGCAGTGCAAACTTATATTTCTTATTGGGAATGAACACCAAAAAACCATTACATATTTAATAATTACTAATCAGGTTCATAACTATGAATATATTTATGGAAGCCTTTGAGAAACCTTCTCTCGACAACTTCCACCTTAAACGAAAATGGAAAACGCTACGTCGATGATATTGTCAAGAAGCTCCAGTAGATTTTCTTAGACATTTAAACTTTAAATACTGCAATATACGTTTTACCACTGAATTAGGAACTAATAATAACCTCCCATTCTTAAATATTTTTACTAATAGAAAATCAGACGTAACATTGGGTCATTATGTTTACAGAAAACCTACGCACACATACCGATACCTTAATGCATTGTCACATCACCATCCTGCCCAAAAAATATCGGTTATCAACTCAACGTAAAACTCAGCCCGAGTAACTGGATCTTACCTTACCACTGGACTTCTCTATAATAATTTCCACATTAAAGATATTAAGTGTTCCATCACAAAATACACTTCACCACAACCTTCCAATAGCAATGAGGCCGAAAGCAATTCCATACTTGTCACTGTTATCCTTCCTTACATTCAGAACATCACTGGTCACATATCAAAGTCCTAAAGAAATATAACGTCGAAACCAGATTTACCACTTGTCCAAAAAACTCTCAACATCAATCTCTCAAAGACAAAATTCCATTTAAGATGCCGGGAGTTTACAGCATTCCATGCATATGCGGCAAATAATGCATTGAGAGGCCTGTCGAAAAATACCAACTAGACTCAAAGAACATGAAAAGTCTTAAGATTAAGACAAAACCGGACATAAAATTTTATTCCATAAAACTAGAATTCTTGCATGTAATCAATTCTTCTACCAATGAAAAATCCAAGAGTCTATAGAAATCTATAAGCAACCTAACAATCTTAACCGCGACTCAGTCTTAACCTGTTACCAATATCAGTCATCCGAGACGGTGTATAAGCCCCTCATTTAGCTCCGCCCCTCTCAAACAATATATAAAGTCGGTACAGAGTAAAATGCGAGCCAGTTTCAGCCAAGTTCTGAAAAAGCCAACAGGATGATTGACGAAACGTTAGCAGTTCGGCTCAACAAAAACCGAAACAGGAGGAATCCAGAAGTTTTGTAAAAAGTAGAATATTTTTTGACTGTATAGATGTTAATTTGTAATTACTTAGGATTGATGATTGGTTATTTTTGATCGTTTATTGTATAGTTTGTAATAGATATTTATTATGTTAGTAATGTGCCAATATTGTATGGGCCAATATTACATCAATTGTATATTCTCGAGGCCAGAGTTCAATGCACTGTTTAGAGAATCTGTAATAAGTTATAAATCATTGGTGTGAAGAAATAAAGTTACAAAAAAAACTGAGTACGTGAGGGGAAAATAAGGTATTTACTTGGAAGTTAACAACCCAAAATTACAGGTTTTCGGAAATACCCATTTTTTTAAAGAGCATTTTCGAAACTAATTAAAAATTTATTAGAGCAATTTTTGCATAGAAGTCGATTAGACAAATTTCATGTGCAGATTTTTGGTTTTATTGAACTATGAGCTTTTATTAGCATTTTCTTTCTTCTATGGTGATATTTGATTAATTTTTTAACACCAAATAAAGTGATTATCTTTGTGTTATAAAATGTTTATTCTTTAGGTAAATGGTAAACTTGATATAAGCTTTAGAAAGTCAAAATGTTGCAAATAAAACATGGCTTTCCCATTTAATTAAACAGAATAAGTGAAAATCTAAAACTTTTTCCATTTCCATTCTAATATGCCAAATACATCAGTGTAGGAAAACCTTAACAAAAAATGAATCTTGGTTAGAATTTAAAAATGAAATGATATACAGGGGCGCCATTTAAACTAATTAAGATGGTGCTGCGTTTATATAGATGCGCAACACTGCGCAGTTGAATATATTTTAGAGCACCACAAAAACAACAAATACAAGCAATAACAATACGTACCCACTTTATTATCCTTCCTCATTAGAAAATCCTGCATCATGTATCTTGTACCGACTATATTGTAGAGTATTTCATATTTGGCTTCTGCTAGTACGAGTTTAAGCGGTTTCTTCGACCTCACGACCGCCACAGCCGCGACCCCGACGATCACCAAACATCCAATCACGATTATCATCGTTTATTTGTGGGACGCATTTAACTTGTTTTGTAAGGAAGAGCGGCTGTCTCTCAGATCGGACTGAAATCGTAAAACGTTGTGGTCGGCAACACACTTTCTTAAAATCGCTTTCTCTTTCGTCGACGGAAGCGCGGCACAAGCGCAATTCCAGCGTCATTTTTGTAGCGCTAATTTTTTCTGTACATTGTTTAAAGCGACGTCAGAATAATTGTTTCTATAGAGCGGATTCACGGTGTGGATGTAAGCGATTTAAGAAAACGAAACACTCCGAAAATTTGATTATTTACATAAGCGGCGACCATCTAATATCGATCGAGACAGTCTCCAACTATGCGACGTTGCCGCGTTCTCGAAAAAGTAGCCTCGTTTTCCTAGCATTTTACGAGAACTTAATTATGTATTAATTATTACAGTGTTAATTAGGAATTATAAGCTTTGATGTAGTTCGAGAGAGTCCCATGCAATAGTGGTGTTATAAAATTAGAAACAAACGTTTTCTTTTATATACAGTAAAAGCTCCTTATTTGTGCTTTCTTTATTCTCGTTTTCACTATTCGCGAATCAAATGAGACCTAATTACTATACCTATTCGCCGCTAAAAATGTCTTTACTCGCGGATCTAATAAGTACATACATAATAATAAAAGGATTCCAATAGGTACCCCCTGACGGGTTCAATGGTCCGGAAGAAGCATCTTTAAGAACCTGATAGTTATACTAGTGAATGTATGTAAAGATGGAGAATTTCAAGCATCGGAAGGTTGGTTCAATAAATTTATGGCGAGACAATCATTGCATAACATTACAATCGTTGGAGAAGCGGCATCTGCAGACACTACTGCAGTAGAACAATATCCAGAAGAATTTGCAAACCTAGTAGCAGATGGAGAATACAAACCTAAGCAAGTATTTAATGCAGACGAAACTGCACTGTTTTGGAAGAGAATAAAGCATTCATTTCTAAAAGCAAAAAGTCTGCTCCTGGATTTAAGGCAACAAAAGATAGAGTTACACTACTCCTATGTTCTAATGCATCTGAAGATTGTGTCATTAAGCCGCTTATGTTGCACAGATCGTTTAATCCTCCAGCTTTAAAAAATCGAAAAAAAGACAATCTGTCAGAGTTTTGCAGCGCTAATAAGAAAGCTTGAGCTACGAGCGCTATTTTTGGAGACTGGTTCCGGAAGTGCTTTGGTTAGTTTCTGGATTTGAAACTTATTTAAAAAAAAAACGAGTTTAGACTTTAAAGCATTTCCAGTGTTGCACATTGCACCAGGTCATCCTCACGAACTTGAAACTATGCATCCAAATATAAAAGTGACATTTTTACCTCCCAAGACGTTGGCTTTGCTTCAACCTATGGACCAATGCATAATCCAGCTCTATTACAAAATGTAATGTAATCCTAATATGAATGTTATGGAATGCGGGAAGAAATTTGACATCGTAAACCTAAAACAATCATTGGAAGAACTGACTCGCATTGAAGTCATGCTGGAGAGAACTGTGTCCTGCACTGCGGAAAATGACGATAAATCTGTGCAAGTTCAAACTTTGACTGCAAACATAGCCGAAATCGCGAATGGAACAGAACGAGATGGATTTGAACAGAGAGAGTCAAGTGACATTCAGGAATTGCTTGAATTGCAAGATGAAGATTTGACTGAAACCGACTTGGAGGAAATGTTAAATTCACAGACTATTCAAGAAGAGGCTTCAACAAGCACTGGAAACGTGTCACTTAATTTGAAAAATCTTAGTGAAGGTGTAAGAATGGCAAATGAACTTCGCGATTTCTTTATGAACATTGATCCGTCTAAGGAACAAGTTTTATTTTTAAGAGGCAAATTGTTAATGCCACTGCTGCCTATCAGTCTCAATTGAAAAAGCTTTTAAAAACTGCCAACCAAGCGAAAATTCTTCAAACCATTATCTATGCCTTAAGATAATTAATCAAAATATTTAAAAACTTCAATCAATTAGATAAGTTAATTTTTTTATATATTTGATTTTTTTTTTAATTTTGTCCTCTAGGAATGTATCCCCTATAATACCATAAAAATTATGGTCCCATATTCACGGTTTCGGTATTCGCGGCATGTCTATGAAACATATATCCCGCGAATAAAGAGCTTTTACTGTAACAAAAACACTATACCGACTGGTATTTAAGTGCGTGTACAAACTTTAGAGGTTGAATCTTTGAGTAATTTTAACATAAAAGTTCATATGAACACATTGGTTCGCAAATCCTTGGTTTTTGTGGCACTGGGTGAGTCATGGATTGGCCCGCCCTCCCTCGGACCAGGGAGCTGCTAAGACTGACCAGAAGGGAGTGTAGAGCACTAACAGGGGCCTACACAGGACATTGCAGGCTTAGGAGGCATTGCTAGGCTTGCTAGGCATTGGAGACGACCCGGAGTGGAAGGGGAGGAGACCCCGTATCATTTGCTCACCGAGTGCCCTGCTTTGACCTGGGCAAGATTGGGAGTCTTCGGAACGGCCCTGATCGATCCGGACTCGGTGCACGGTATTGGGTCAAAGGAGTTGCTGACCTTTTATAGGAGGGGCGGCATTCTGGACGCCCTCAAGAGCGGCCTGGGGGCACAACGGGCCCATTTGGTGGCCAGGGCGCCCCCCTTTAATACCAATACTGGGTGAGTCAATGATAGAGTAAAGTTTATTATCTCATTGGTTCAAAAGTTATAAGCAAATGGTAAATGGAAAAGATGGAATAATCCTAAAATGAAAATTATTTTAAAGATCACAGGGGGTTCAAAAGAGCGTGACGAATAAAATATACAATTTTTGTAATGGATCACCCTATTATTTTTAAATCTTATTTTGAATTCCTTTTAAAATTATTCAACTTTTTAATACTATTATATTCCTCATTCGAAGATGAAGTAAAATTCACGTGCAACGAAATTCGATTTAGATGCTAAACGAATATATTTGGATCATTTTAAATTGAAAAATCTTGAATAAATGGCACATCACATATATTATTTTTTCTGAAAGACCTACAACTTTTCTTAAGCATGTGATATACCTGTTTTTAATACTTGGCGATATATTTTAACTTTTTCAATATTTACACTTCTTTCTGTCTAAGATTATTGCTATAGCATTAGTTGGCCATGACAAAATGACAAAATTTTAACTGACAACTGAATAAATAACTTCATAAAATTTATTGCGGTGTCAATAAATTAAAAAAGAAACTAAGCATGAATGTTCCTAAAGCTGACTTAATTGATAGGGGTTTATACATAATAGTTTCTTATCAGAAATACTTCACAAGGGGAATTTCTTTAATAGGCATATAAAGAAGAGACTTCAGTGTTAAATGGAACTGTTTGATGTTAGTGGCAGTATCGAATATGAAAAACAAAAGTATTAAACCGGAATGCTGCCACTGAGGAAAAAGAAGTTCAAGATAATCCCCAAATAATGCCTTCAAGTAGCTAGCTTACGCGATACATCCCAAACTACAGTTCGCACCACTAGAAAACCATCCCTTCCATATGGAACTACATCAAGAAATTTTAGACCGTGATTTTGAACTAAGGGTAAACTTATATATATTATTATAAATGAAAAAAAAATCTGATGAAGGTACTGTTCACAGTAATAACAACCAAAACCATTAGTCACTTAATGTGTGGTGACTTTTCAATTACAAATGATCCAAATATATTCGTTTATTTTGAACACACTGTAGCTTCTAATTCGAATTCCGTTGCTCCTATCCTAATTCTTTTGCAAGTGTGAAAACTAGCATTTTTTTATAAAAATTGAAATATGGGAAAAACTATTAGCTTTAGGCACATATAAGTATTAATAATAATTTTGAAAAAATTCAAACCGAATTCAAAGCAAAATTTCAAAATAAGGTGTCCCGTTAAACAAATGTATGTTTTCTTCTTTTCTTTCTTTTCTTCTTTTTTGAGCCCCCTTTATAATTTAAATGTGAATCCTAACAATTAATACAACTTTTGTATTAACCATTTTCTCGTAACTTTCGAAACCAATGAGATAATGAACTTCACTCTGCATGTTAAGAACCAAACCGTTAGGGACCAATGTTCATATGAACTTTTATCACCCTGCAAAGGGCGTTCATTTTGTTTCGTTTCATTATATGGTATTTAGACGAAATTCGAAACACGGTGTTTTTTGTTAACGTTTTATCTGCTCGTATTCATTTTTCGGAAAATAAATCAAACAGGTCCGGCGTAGTAGTAAGGAAATTGAATCACAAAATATATGAATACGTTCTGTTGTATTGTGTACTGTATAATTGAAAATTTATACATAATAGTATATTATGCAACAAGTGCAGTAAACGGTATTTGACTCACAAGTTAATTTGACACGAGCGGAGCGAATGTTTAATAAACGAGTGACGTAAAAAGTTTACCGAATTTGTTGAATACTATAATTTTTCTACGACCGTTAGTTTTTGGGTACTTTTCGCCAAACAACACGAATACATTCACTGACATGACAGTCAGAACTGACAAACGTCAAAATTCAAGGCGTGGGAAATACCTCCGAAAACCTCCGGTTGCCCCCAAACCCGTGCTGTAAACTCCCGGAAATGTCCGAAGTGGCTCGGATCCGTGGGAAACAAAACGGACGTGGTAAAGTGACGTTTCCCGAACGCTAGATCGATGGCTATTTAGGTATTTTACAGACGGGAGAAAAAAATAGCATATTATGCAATAAGTGCGGCAAACGGCATGTGATTTAGGAGTTTATTTGACACGAGCGGAGCGAGTGTTTTATAAACGAGTGACTTAAAGGGTTCACCGAACGTGTTGCATCTATATTTTTTCAACGACCGTTAGTTTTTGGGTACATTTTCGCAAAACAACACGAATACATTCACTGACTTGACCGTCAGAATTGACAAACGGACGTGGTCAAGTGGTAAAAGTATCCAAGGGTATAATTAATGGTTTTTCGTTGTCCCAAGTTTTCTTATAATTATTTTCCGCTTCACGTACATGGTTAACTCACTGCTCTCTGGTACTAATTCATACTGAGTTTTAATTATAACAATTACTTGGGCGGACATTTTTGCGTTTATATTATTGCGTCTAGCTTCGTTTTTTAATTGCGGCACATATTATTTTTATTGGATTATAGGTATATTACCGCATTTTTTTGTGACCTCGTCTACGAAATGCGTTTTATCGTCCGATTTGTTGCTTAAAACTTCAACTACTTCTATTTTTTTTTGTATAATCTTCAAAATAAAGGTCATCCTAACTAAGGAACTCTTGCAATACCTCTTTTTTGCTGCTAATAGTTGTTTTTTTTTTTAGTTAAAGTGCTGTGATAACTATAATTATCATTAATTATTACGCTGCCTGGCGGGATAATTGGAACAAGAGAATTTTTTATTCAATTTTCAAAAAGTTCACTTGTCAAGTCTTTAATGTTTTTGGTTGAAAGAAGCAGCACTTGGCACCCAACTTTCTCTCGAGCCATAGTGTAAAATGGAATTTAAGTTAAATATTTTTGTCTCCATTGCACCAATCGTTGCGTCTCTTTAATGCAACTACGCTTGTCAATTTTTCTAAATATTTCACGACTGCCAGTAAATCTACTGCAGTTAACTTCTATTGCAATGATTCAACTGACCGAATCTGATTACTCTCATACACTGCATACATTTCCCTGCGAATCCACTCTGCATCACCATTACTAAAGAAGTTCATCATGCCTTTGTCATGTCGTTCCTTCCTTGCTAGTAAATCATTATTAAGGGATCGACGCCAGACTGACCTTGGAATGAGAGTTAACTCTACTGTCCCCCCAATAGCAGCTTCTGACTTTTTAGAAGATCTACAGGAAAATTCTGAAATAAAAGATATAAAAAAGGTTCAGAAATGCTATAGTAAACATTTGCTGTTTTTTCAAACAGTTTATTACGTAGAAACAGTATGTCGAATTGTCCGATAATAAAGACAAAAAAGTAAGCGTTATAAAAATTTTACCTTCGCATTTAAATCATACTTTTGGTTAGTTAGTCTCCTTTATTCCCTGGTCGAAATTTTCTTCAACGATCTCAACACAACAAATAATGATTGTAACGCCACTAATGACAGAGCACAAATGATTTTAAATTTTCTAATCTGTTGCCACTACTAATATAAAAATACCTCCCTGTACTGATAAACGCTTATAGAACGACTTTTTATCGCTCTTTACAAATCTTCTGGATTTCTTCTGCGTCGACTGTTGATGAATCGAATTTGCTGACGTTTCGCCAATCATCCTGTTGGTTTCTTTACAGCTTGACTGAAAATGACTCACATTCTACTCTGCATATATATTATTTGAGGGGGGCGGAGCTAAAGACGGGGAATGAACTTTATATCGGATGACGACCTGAGCCGCGGTTAAAATTATTTCGTTGTTTACAGATTTCTATCGGTTTTTTCTTTGGTAGAAGAAATGGTTCCATGCAAGCATTTTAGTTTTATCGAATAAGGTTTGATATTCGGTTTAGAGATTTTTGGGCAAGTGGTAAATCTGGTTTTGATGTTATATTTTTTAAGAATTTTGACATGTGTTTGACAGTTATGTTTGGAATTTAAGAAAGGACAACAGTGGCAATTGTGGGGCTCCTTTCATGGATTTGTGTGGATTTTGTGATAGAACGCTTTTTATTCGTTTATTGCTAGGTTTGTTCAGTGTACAGGCCCTTTCGTCACGCAAGGTATGACCATTTATCGTGTGCAGGACTGTGCTGATATTGATTGTCAAGGATCCCGACTATGGCGTAGTTTGATGGACCTACCTGTGCCTTCTCAAGCCAATGCCTTTTCCTATGCCTAAAACTCAACATTCGGAGTTGCAAAAATAGTTGAAATGTCTTAGAATATGACAGTTGGATAGTCAACAATATACCTACTTGTGAACGAGGATAGGGGCTGCCTCATCAGGTCAGTAAAGAGAAGTAGAAATAAAGCTTTAGTAAAGAAGGATGAAAAGACTGCCATCAGAAAAATAATACACTAGTTTTACGTCAAAAAATTGTACAAAATAATGTCTAAAGTGGAAAAGGATAATTTTATTCCACATACGAGTAAGAAGAAACTATGGAAAAATTCGAAGAACAATTTTCGTTTCGAAAAAACTGAAAACAGAAAATCAATCAGAGAAAGGCGCCAGCAATTGGAAGAGAAAGCAGGAATATTTATAATCCGACAGAAAACTAAAGAAAAACTAAGAAAACTAAAAGTAGATTGTTTCCCAAATAGAACCAGATTTGATACAACAAAACGCATAATATTTTATGGTGCGTGAGCGCACCACTGGTAACATTCGGTTTCATTTTTGGTGATATTTTGTAAAGCATGAAGTTTGTAAATGCACATTACACTTATTACAAACGTAAATTGTGTGACTGTGGCAGATTCTACATCTCCTTCGGGCTTTATTAGCGTGAACAATCATGAGGTGACCTTGATTATCATAACGCACTCCGTCTATGGCAAGTGCAAGATTTCTTTGAGTAATTGTTTTATCAGTTTTTAAAATTCGCAAAGCAATGTAAGATTTAAACTCTACCTGGGAAATCTTTTGTTCCTTGACAATTTCCATGCATTCACTACTAAACTATCCAGTGAGTTACAACATAAAGGCCGCCACAATTTCTTCCAAATACCTGGTACCTGTAATTAGCAATTCATATATCTATTGTATTGGGCAATTACATAAGGTTGGGGTATATTTATATCTTTCCGTTCTTTTCTATTATAGCGTTTTACGTTTTGGACAGTATCTACACTAGAAACATTACTTGCCACAATTACAACTGAAATGTGGTGCCAATGGACAATAGAATTTTTTGATTCAGATTCACATGCTGAAAGATAGGGTCCGCGGTCTTTTTTTCCAAATGATTTACAATTTTCCATTGGACATTTGTTATATTTTCCCGGATAGTATCGGTGACAAAATAACCATCAGTTTCTAAATGTACAAATAGTTTGAATGATGAAAAAAAATTGTCAAAAAAATTTTGGTGATTTACTGGCTTATCTACAACAGAAAGTGATATGACAACGACACCGCCAAGACCAAGGTTAGAATGAGGTTTATTTTGGGCACTACCATATGTAAGTGAATAAAATAGGTACCCATCAGATGAACAACGGCACCAAAGCTTGAAGCTGAAGCGAACTGGCTTACCCCTATAAACATTTTGCAGGAATGGCGGCCAAAGTAAGGTACCATTTGTTCATCTATGGATAAGTTGAACGAAAATATGCCGAACTGAAGATTTTTTTATTTATTACATCAAAGAAGGGTCTTTTGAAAATTTATTATATTTATCCAACAGATTATTGTCAGATAAGTGCAAGTTTTGCTTTATCAATTGGAATCTATTGTAGCTCATACATTTTTTTATAAGATCAATTCCTTTGGCAGTAGACCAATAATATGTAGTAGACCAATAATATATGATAACCCGCGAACAATAAAATGCTTACAAAATTTAAAAGTTCATAGCCGCCTCTAATTCATAATAATAAACTTTCTAAATGGATGTGCAAACTAACCAAAACCATATTGAAAATGTTAATTGTTTTTTGTATATCGCAGAACTTTTGGTAGAACAATTCAATTTAAAAAATATTTAATTTAAAATAGTAAAATTATATACAATAATTAAACATACATTGAAATTAACTTTAATAACGTATTACTTTATTATAATTGTAAGAAATTAATTTTATTATACAGTAATACATTTAATAAAAAACAGTGTTTGTTTTGGGAGTCGCTCTAGAGACCTCCTCCGTACATTTCCATACCATACCAAGCGTTTCTTTCGAATGTCTTCTATAATTTTGTGTGTAGTACATACCCATAGTACCCATAATCTCCCTATATCGTTATATTGTAAAGTTCCTATAAATTGCAGTGACAGTTTTCCATATTTCAGTTTTTAAAATCTACACACCTTGAACAGTTCCTAAACTAGGGTCACACTAATTTGCATAAAATAGAAAGACGAGTTTGGCAAATGAAAATTATGTGGCAATGGTGTTACTATAGGTAATAGAATAATTATAATGTTATAATCATTTCTTGGTCGTGCCTACAGTATGCAAAGTGATAAAGGAGATGGTGCTGGTCCTAACCAAAATTGCATCAAGATTCAAAGTAATATTTTCCTTCATGAGACATGGTACCATGTATGCAGAATGACTGCAAATGAATGCTCCTTCACGCCACATTTTTAATCTGGCACTTGGGACGAGTGTTTACTCAGGTCCGTGGAAAATTTCCAAAGTTTATTCTATTTTCAAAAGGAAAAATCTTCCGCAGTTGAAAATTACCTACTTATTTCGATTCTATCCAATTTTTCGAAAATATTGAATATTATATATCATCAATTCGAAATAAATTCGATTCGCAACCCCATCATGTATCACTAACTCATGTTCACTGTCTTCTTTCATCTGTAGCTGCCTGAACAAGCGACGTGAGTTTGACGTCATATACACTGACTTCCATAAAGCATTTCACCAGAGAAATTATCACTTATTGGTGGGAAAAGTGACTCAAAAATTTGGTTTCCCCGATAAGCTGATTTAAATGTTGAGGTCTTAGCTGGTCCATCGTCAACAGTTCGTTGAGATGGCGTGCCTCAGGGTGCTAACCTTAGACCACAAGCTTGCCGAAATAGATATGATAAAACTATATCACTGCCTCAAAACCAGTACAAACTAACCAAAACAGGTACAGACTTCAAGACTTTTCAAGCCAACATCAATGTTGTCAGTCAGTGGTGTACTAAAAATAATTTGAATCTTAACATCAGCAAGTGTAAAGTAGTTTTTTACCACCGCACTAAAACTTCTATAATCTATAATTGTAGTATTGATGGTACTATCCTGACTAGATTCATCATTGTAAAGGATCTGGGGTTTTTATTTGACCAGAATTTCTCTTTTGGACGTCACATCACTAAAATGGTTTGCAGTGCAATGCAAATTTTAGGATTCGTTATAAGAAATTGTAGGTTTATTTGTTGCTCATCTACTATTGAAATATTATTTTACTGTTACGCTAGATCCAAGCTTGACTATAGCTCGGTGATATAGTCACCAATATATAACTGCCACGCTGTCTATTGAAAGCATGCAGTGAAGGTGACTGAAGTATCTAATGTTCAGAGAGGAGGGTTCCTATCTTGAGAGTTTACTTGATCATGTACTGTAGTGCCTCTGCGATGCGATTGTCCGTTTCTTCTGGAACAATTACGTTTTCATGTGCGGCGGCTGGAAGAAAGACCGCAGTTGCCGAGCATTTTAACCCATTTTGTCCCAGTGGTGCGTTAATGCTTTTATGATTTTTTTTGTCACATCCAGAAAATATTTTTGCACATCCATTTAGAAATTTCATTATCACTACGAAGGGACATAAGACCATAGAAATCGCTAATTTATGTGTAAAGTAAAGATCTTATAGATGACAAAAGTTAACAAAAGCGGTACATAAATTTGTATCACCTTTTCAAGTTTTCAAAAATAAAATATATTTTTTCGGTAGTAGCACTTTAGATATTTTAATAAAATTTGGCATACAAGAGGCATTACTTAGTCTACCACAATTTTTTAAAAATATTTAAACACTTCAGAATCGTTATTATAGTGAAATACGATCCGGTACTTCCGTGTTTACATTTTAAATTCTAATTTATTTTTTTCCTTCCTCACCGGCAAACACCTGATTTGCTCTGGCTCTGGCAGTCTTGCCAGGCTAAGAAAAGTCGTAATTTAATTCGCTCTATTTGGTTGATAATTACTAATATTTCAAATACTCCATAATAAATGGTCTATGGCGTATGGCTTTATGCACCAAGGTCCGTGCTTTCTCTACGTTCCGGCATCTCTCTCGAATATCTTAGCAAGTTCTCTATTTATCTTTTTCACTCCTAGCTCCGAGCGACATTGCTTTACTTGGTAGCTAACCAAAAGTGATTAACCAATCGGCTTTTTCTTTAGCCATCGCGTCGCGGATATAAGATTAAATTTACTTAGATGTGTGGTCAGCGATTTGGTGATTCCGTTGCTGTGCGTATATTTGACCTTTGCGATGGACAAAAAAAGAGACAAAATTAAGACATCAAATCTGCTCATAAATGATTGCAAATATCCTTATTTTTTTTAAGTAAATCAGTGACGTGCCACTGGCTCTCTATGAACAAATAATATTTTGGTTAATTGGGTCGTCACTGCACTGGTTAAATCGAGAAATTTTTTTGTGAAAAATAAAATATCTATCTTAAACAAAATATCTAGTTTTTAGTTAGTTTAGTAACTAGTGTCTTACATTCTAACAACAAGATAAATAAGAGACGATTCTTATTTAAATTTATTTTATGTATTTTGTATTCGTACTTCGATTTTTTGAAGTATTTTATTAAAACAGACAGACAATTACTTTAGTAAGAAATAATGACCCTAATAATTCTCTGCATGCTGTCATATTAACGATATTGATATGACCATGCAAAAAAGAGGTTTACATATTTTTAAGCGAAAACCGTACATCAGATTAAAAAAATGAAGGAATTAAATTTCTTTAGAGATGATTGGAGATGGTAAGAATAATTTTTATTTTAAGAGAAATCAGTGGAAATTTCCTACTCCCGTCACTGGTGTATTGTAAAGAAATCGTGGTACACTAAATAATGCGCCAGTACATGTGCGCCAAATTTCATTAAAATATTTGAACTGATATTACCGGTGTTGCGGAGTTTCAGGATTTTTTCGTCAGAAAGAACACAATGGAGGACGTCCAAGAAATATAGTACTGGGTCAGGAAGAAAAAATCATAGACCGTATAGCTGATAATGCACAAACAAGTATTCACTCGTTCTGCATCAGTATTTACAAAAATAAAACAAAAAATACTTTATCTTTATCATTTCACACCAGTCTAGCATTTGCTGCCTCCTAATCCGTAAGCAAGAATTTTTTTTTGAGCTTGTTCGAAACCAGCACGATGAAGATCGTTTTGTTAAAAAAATATTATTTACTGACTAGGCTACTTTTACCCATAGAGGTATTTTTTAATCTGATCTGATATGGGAAAGCCATTTCCAGAATGCATTTTTTGAAGTATGATCTTGAATTAGTCTTGAATTTCCGGACTGTAGTCCGGATTATAATCCAATGGATTTTTGTTAGTCGGGAAGACCTTTGCAATAAAATTTAGGATGCAAGTAATGAAGTCCTTATAAAAAAATAACACAATCATTCATTAAAGGAAAGTTTTTGTTTTTTGTAATAATTATTAAATGCCTTAATTAAATAAAATTTGATTTAATTACAATTCCGCCTGGTTTTTTATTATTAATAGTAATAGAAAACACAATCTGTGTTTTTTATGTTCATAAAGGTCTTGTTTCTTTTTCGGTATTCACTTGCAACTATTATTGAGTTCATTTAATTTACCATTTTTAATAATAATACAATGATTATGCTGTTATTTTATAGCTCGTTCGTTTTGAACCACCTTTCAAACAAAGAGTTAAACTAATTTGAAACGTTGGGGATTAAGAATTTTTTTCTTTGTTTTTAAATGAAACACTCTGCTTCTCATTCCACAACGAGGACTATTATTTACTATCAACGCAAAACTATAACTAAGTTGAACTCCGAAAATTTGTACTTGCAAATCAGGAATTTGAGGTAGCATTTTTCTCAACATCATAGAGGCCATCCTGTATACGATATATCGCAAGCAGCAACTCAAATCAGTTTTTTATACGGACAATGTTGCGGTTCATATACGACCTGACCGCAACACATCATGTAGGTGATAAATTATCTACCGACCAAAAAATCCAACTTTGTTCCTCTCAGCACAATGAAAACCCTCCATTGTTTGTAATCTAAATATAATGCGACGTCTAAAATAAAACGATTTAGATTCTGGAGGAGAAATTTTTCACGACAACAACGGACAATTTTTCCGAAGGAAACGTTCTCGTTTAGCTCGGACATTTCCGACAATTTAATCAATTGCTTCCTTGATTTTCGGAATAAATATTTTTACTTTTGCGACACAATGCGAGCCGAGATTATGGTAAAAGGCCATTACCTCCATCGCAATTTCTAGTCTATTTATCCCGTAAATAAGCGTTACAGAAAAATCAATTAACCAAGTCGCTAGACAGTTTAAAGTTCGTTGCAAAATTTGCCTAAATATTTAGCGCCCGAAAAGCCTTAAGAAATACATTTTTGATTTAGAGCATGGAATCAAAGTGGCAAAGAACAATCCATATCCTTTGTTCTACGACATCTAATAATAATAATAATAATAAACAAGTTAACTAAATTTTCCAAGAGCGATATGCCTTTTGGTACACAATTAAGACAGTTCGAAATCGACATTCAGGTTGTATACAGCTAACGTGGACCAGATGTCAAACATATGTTTCTCAATCCGTCCAGTGTGCAGTTAAATACATCATATACATTTGACAAGTTATTACAATTAGGACACGCTACATTTACAGGAAAACTTTTTAACAGTGGGGCAGTTTATAACGTTATGCAACAATTTATAAATTAAGATACCTGAAAAGCACTTGTTGCTTCGATCAAAACTATTTATATTGAATATATTTAAATATAGATAAATATGTATATGCACCATCAGCTTTGAACACTATTTAAAAACAGTATTTAAAAAAAATCTGTACACCATCAACCGCCCAGCTATGACCAGAGTAGATCGGACTCCACACAAGCGATGCGTACTCAAGTTTAGATCGAACAAAGCTCAAGTAGACGGTTTTCAAAGCAAGGATATTTGCAAATGATTTACAATTACGCACAATAAAACAATCATTACGATTAGCCTGAGATACAATTCCCGCTATGTGAGTCACGAACGTAAGTTCTAATCATATCGTATTCAATTGTCAATGCTGTTCTTTGTCAGTGCTTTTTTTCGGATGAAGCAATTTTCCACAATAACGGCTGTTCCCTGTTCTTTTTCACGGAAAATGTAACACCAGCCGAGATGGTCACTTAATGTTTGAACAGGAAGTGTATGGAGTAACTACTACTGAAATACATCTAATATTTCTGCAACATCTTAAATGTGTTATATCAACATTTTTTTAAATAAACGATTTGATAATTGATACATTGGCCAACGAGATGACAAAATTAGATTTTTCCTTGTCAGGATAAGTAAAGGAAAAAGGTTATTAAGTCGATCCAACAGAAAATTAAGATATGCAAATGAAATTCTGGAATTTTCCAAATAAATGCTCCAGATATGCTATAAAGGGTTAAACGTATTATTTCAAAAACGGGCATAGAGAACGTCATTTATAGTACAGGGTGAGTCAACGATAGAGGTTTCAAAAGTGACGAGAAAATGGTAAATGTTAAAGCTGTTAACTTATTTAAATGTATACATGGTGTTTCAAAAAACTGTGACCAATAACACCACATTTTATCATGGCGAACTATTTTTTAATCTTATTTGTTGGCTAATAGTTTTGTCATAACTAATGACTAATATTTTGTATAACATATTTTTCAAAGGAACTTGCACAAACTACAGTAATATTATTTCAAAACTTTTTTTCTTCTTCTTCAGAGAGAAACTGTTTCAACAATTTCGGTGTATATCAAAATAATTAAATAATATTCCTTTGCTAATTTTTCAAAGTAACTTTCACAGTAATAGTTTTTCAAAGCTGAATTGAAACTGTTTCAGATAAGCTCTGAAGAAGCCAAGGAGATGATTCGCGAAACGGCAACAAGATCGATTCAACCAACGCAGGATGAATTCAGAAGTTTTGTAAATAATAGGAATATGACATACTTAATAAATTTTCAGTTTTAGTCAAGCTCTGAAGAAGCCAACAGAATGATTGGCGAAACGTCAGCAATTTCGAGTCAGCAAAAACCGACGCAGGAGGAATCCAGAAGTTTTGTAAAAAGTTTTAATAAAACTTGTAGGTTATTTGTGTATCATTTAAGAAAAGCCCGATTTTTCAATTTAAAATGAATTGTTATAAATAAATTTGCAGCATCTAATTCAAGTTCCGTTGCATATATCATTTGCGTCATCTTCGAATAACAATAATATTAAATATTAAAAATAATGGCGCTTTGATAATTTTTTTGCAAAAAAATAGTATTTAAAAAAAATAAAATATAGGAAAACTGTTAGATTTAGGTATGTAAAAAGTTGAAGAATTTCAGAAAGAGCTCGAAAGTGAACGTGAAAATGAGGTATTGTGCCGGGAGCACTTTCAGGTCTTCGCTGTTCAAGTTCGTCGGATGGCTCAACAGTATTTTATCCATCGTGGTCACCCCCTAGTCGTCAGTTTCATTCACAAATTTTTAATCTGTTGAAACACGCTCTCGCGTGGACAATTGATTGATTGATAGACTGAAATCCATGGGTCCTGCGTTGATCAATTTATTTAAAAAATTCGTTGTACTCGTAATTTGTGCCACATATTTCCTGCAATTACGCGTGCCTATTGCGTCATGATTCACGATTGCATCGTGGAACACCGGCCTCTTAGCGAAGTTGTCTGAACGTTGTCGTAATAAATACGAGGCAAATTTGATCGAGCGGCGCAATTCGTGGCGAAACATTGTGTGTATACTCGTGCTCTGAAAACACTTCTTCGAACAACTTCAATATGTCAATGATAAAGGAGGTCCTTATTGCTGCTACTCAGCTGCTGGTAAGTTTTTGAAGAATTTTATTTTTTTTAAATTTTTTTAAAACTTTTTTTTCTTCTTTTCAAAAGATTTAACTCTCTATCCCATCGACGAATCACACCTGTTGCTTAAGCGGCGCCTCACAAATCACGTATGGAGGAAACACACACAAGAGTGGTCGGCGTGGAAGGAGCAGCAGCTAAATCAACACGCAGCAAGATTTAATGAAAAAATTGAAGAGGACCGGCAGTGGTACGCCTTGCAAGCTCAAAGGCAACAAAAAAACAGCAACAAACGACAACAAATGGGACGGGACCAGTCACAACAGCAGATGATGATGAGTGGGATACCAAGAACAGTTGTAGTTCATATCAAACGACAACAAATTGGACGGGACTAGTCACAACAGGAGATGATGAGTGGGATACCAACAACAGTTGTAGTTCATGTTTAGATTTTTTGAAAAATAAAAAAACATAGTATAGAAAAAAATGTTTTGCATTTCACACAGATCCAATCCTCGTTAATCATAAAATTCGTCGGGAATTATTAGAATAGTTATCTGTGAAAAAAAAAATATTTAACTTTAACCTGGGGGAGTCACCGTACAAATCGGGTGAGTTGAGTGACAAAATGCTAGTCAAAATTAACGAAGTTGGTAAGTTAATTAAAAAAAAAAAGACTATCGAAAATGGATACAATTTTTTAATCAAAAGTGTTATTATTTTTTTTTTAAATATCGGAAAAAAAACGTATCGACGGAGCTACAATAGTCGAATTAAAACCAGAGCTATAGTAAATTTAAGTCTCCCCGTTCTCGAACAAAGTAACTGCAGTACTAAATATACGCTGATCATAACTAGCGTTTTTATAGAGGGGATTCATGGGTATACTGGCGTATACCCATGAATATAATTCGAAAATATTATTTAGGGCGCACATCCGTCGTCCTCCGCCCTTGTGAAACATACAGTTCGGTCTCTCGTTTTTCTCAAACTTTGGCGGCGGCGGCGGCGGAGGTACAGTTGCGGCGTGGTCGTCTCGTCATCGTGGCTCGCCGTCGTCAAACTGTTCCACGTTAATGATGGTGGTCTTCTACGCCGACAACGACTCCAGCCTCTTGGCCAGAAAGTCCGCTTTCACCTGCCCCCTCACGTAAATGACGTCGGCCTGTGCGCTAATATGATTTATCACGTCGTCCACCCTCGCATAGTCGACAAATCCCCCGCTGTATATCAATCCATGGAGGCGATCCTCCAACCACTGCACCCCCCTCTTGTCGGCGGAGGACAGCCGCCCATATTCCTTTGGGGGCTTGGAAATAAAATGGCAGCTTTGACTGCCATTACATGCCGCCAACTCCTTCACGACGAAGCCCTCGCCGCCGTCTTGCAGCTGGAATCCCTGCAGGTCGACCACCACGAACCGCATGTTTACCACAAAATGTTTTGACTTCACAAACTTTGTACCACGAACTGCGCCGCTCGATCAAATTTGTCTCGTATTTATTATTACGACAACGTTCGGACAATTTCGCTAAGCGGCCGGTGTTCCACGATGCAAATCCGTTTTTAGCCTCGATATCTAACTTAACGTCGACCGTGCTGGATTTCAGACTGTCGTTTCTTCTAGAACAATCGATGACGAATACGGCTCGGCTCGACTTTTGAACGTTTCGTAGTTGAGCAGGGCGCGTCTCTCCTCGCATCCCTTATAACTAGGATAGAAATCCGTGTAATTGTGATGCGCCTCCACAAAATCGTTCTTGTCAAAGTCGAGGCGCGAGCGTTCATGAGGGTAATATTCTCCGTTTAGCGTTAGTCGTATATCCGTAATATCGATGTGATCGAAATAAGTGGCGTCTTTATTTTCATTATCTTTACGATTTGTTTGAAACGCGACGATCACATAGCGGGGACTCTCGACCGCCGCGCACGTTTTTACTGACCAAATTTCTTTGACAGCGCCCGCGGTCAGGGCTGGATGTTCGTGAAGTTCCCATCTTCGGTACGGTATCAGAATGGGCTGATCCGCTCCAATCGATTACAACAATTGCAATTTCATTTCGTCATTTGGAAATATATGTTTGACCCTGAGATCGACGCTATCAATTTTTAAATCCGCCGTGGTCGCCTCGCTGGAAATGACGGCGGCGGTGCCGGCCTTCGGAGTAATAACCATACAATTTTTGTCGTGTCTCGCCCGTACCAATCTTACGGTTTGTTTTCCGCACGTTATCAAATTATAATCGTTGAAAATGACGCAATGGGATCCGCATGCTGAAAGATCCGTCCTTGTCGAGAATAGCTCGTTGCGGGAAATTCCAGCCGGCAACGTCTAAATGCTTCGAATCCTTCTCGTCGTAACATAGATAGCCGCGGAGCGTACTGACTATACCGGAATCGCGCACGCTGTCCACTTCCTTTCCGTTCAGTTCGTAAGTCACAGTTTCGAAGAAAAATGCTCCGGCATTGTTTACAAAGTCCAAATCGTCGGTCCCCGTGAGCCTTTTTAGCGTTCCTTTAACACAAATGGCGGCGTCGTGCATAAGCAACCACGCGTCTCCTTGATTGATCGTTATCTCGATTGTGTCATTGTTGAGAAATGATTTCACAAACGGGTGGTAGGTGCGACTTTCCACGCGCTGAATCGACTCGTCATATTTTGGTTTTCTGTGTATGTCGAATATTTGATTGGATAACATCGTAGCCCAGCGAACGAAGAAATTGCTTGTTCGTCGGTGTAAGGCGTCCTTTACAGGTACCCCTCGGTCTCGTGACTGACTCTACCGACGTTTTGTTAGGACCTTTATATTGGACGACCTCGTTAAAAATCAACATTTATGATAGCTTTTTCAACTCCAATCTGACGATGATTTCCTCGCCTCGGAAATTGACCGGCTCGAAATTTTGATCCAGAACGTTGTAGATGTTGTAGATTTCTCGCTTGTTTACTGGCAAGTAAGTTAGGTATTTCGGGGTTTCGTCGATCGCGTACCCCGGATCCAAGGACTAGGCAAACTCGTAAATTGTGTGCGAAGGTCTGTCGTTGTAGAACGCTCCGGACGTTATGTTGCTATCTATATGTATGGTTCTCACTTTTATTATGTCCACAGGCAAATCGGAACAGTGCACGCTGCGGGGTTCCAGAATTTTCCGCGAAAAACCCAACAGTTTTCCGATACTGTCGTCGTGATCTTTAAAGTTTATCCCGTACGTGTCGCTATAGATTTCACATTTTATCGTATTGTTGTTGGGCTTGATCAAGATCTCTTCTTTTAACTTTGC